AAAGAGTAAAGAAGAACGGAGAAGAAGAAAAACAAAAGTGAACATAATTTGATGGTAGCTAAAGAAGGAGGTAACCAAATAAACAGAGTACTAGTTGCGGGGTAAAAGACAAAGCGGTGTTGGCAAATTTATTTGAGATCATACCGATTCAACTGAAAAAATGGAAACAGTACTAAGAATGTAAATTGATGCTTAAAACTTCCATAAAACTGTGGCCCAGGTCGAAAAAGACAGTTGAAACCAGCCGGTATACCGCACTTTGTCTGTTTACAACTATTCTCTTTCTGTTTATATTTGATACCGACTAATTCATTATTCATGTATTTAAATTGTTAAATTATCATGTTTTGTCATGTGAGTTATAAGTATCGTGCTATGCACGCGAACCAGGAGATGCAGTATCATCATCTCATTCTAAATCTCATATGTACTCTGTATCAGAGATAAATAAAGTATCCAGTTGTCATGGTTACAAAGTATAACTTAATAATACAGTTTTTGTGTCGTTTTATACTTTAGCGCTTTGTAATAGTGGCATAAACTCTGAATATTGGATTTTTATATTGATAACCTAACGTCTATGGTGATGTTGATGATGGAGATTCTGATATGGTAATATGGTGATGGGTGATCAATGATGAAGATCGATGACGACAGTAATTGTACGTCATAAACATGTGATGAGAGAGGAGAAGAGATGGAGAGAGACAGAAAGAGAGAGAAGGATTAAAATTGAGAGAGATAGAAAGAGAGAGAACGATTGAAATTGAGAAAGCGAGAGAGAGACAGAGCAGAGAGAGAGAGAGAAGGGGACAGAGAAGAGAAAGAGAGGGAGAGATCGAGAAAGAAAGACAGAGCAGGGAGAAAGAGGGTAGATTGAGGAGATGAGAGAGAGAGAGAGAGAGAGAGATATATAGCACCATTGCAATCGTGAATACTGCACCAATACCACCAAATATTGCTATTGTTGCTAACATCTTCACCACGACTACAATCATCTACATTACACCCAAGACTACAACCATCTTCATCATCATCACCACTACAATCATTACCATCTCCATCAACACCACCATCGCTACAATCATCTTCATCATTACCACCATCAACATCATCACAACCATAATCATCAACATCTCCATCAACATCATCACCACCATCACTACAATCATCATCATCACCACCATCAACATCTTCATCAACATCACCACCATAATCATCAACATCTCCATCACCACCATCACTACAATCATCATCATCATCACCATCATCAACATCACCACCACCATAATCATCATCACCACTATAATCATCATAATCATCATCACCACCATAATCATCATCTTCATCATCACCACCATTATTCATCCCTCCCCTACCTCCCCTTTGAATAAATGTTATAATTTTGTAGCTCACAGAGTGCTTCTAAAAAATATTTAAAAACCAATAACACCACCAAAGCATGTGATAGATTATACATAATTATACTGCATTTAAACACAGGCGCGGATCCAGGATTTCTTAGGGGAGGGGGCACAATTTTTTTTTTTTTTTTTTTTTTGCTCCCAAAAATTCGCTCAGTGGGGGGGGGGGGGGGGGGGGGGGGGGGGGGGTAGTGAGCACATTTTTTTTTTTTGATCCTCAAAAAAAAATCAATTTGCACCCCCCCCCCCCCCCTTGAGCGCCAGAGGTGGGGGGGGGGGGCGGGGGCCCAACCCCCCAAAAAGGTAAAAATCATGTGATTTTACATGATTTTTTTTCTCAAGGGGGGGGGGGCCGGGCCCCCCGGCCCCCCCCCCCCCCCCCCCTGGATCCGCCACTGTTAAAACAACAACAACAACCAAAATCATATACCTTTGTGCAGTACCAAAACTGTTAATTATATTTATATTTCAAGTGGATGACAACAAATATTGACAGGTGACATTATATATATATATATATATATATATGTACATTTACAGTCAAACGTCTCCATGGTGGCCACCCGTCTATAGTGGTCATGTATTTAGTTTCCCTCAACAAAAAAATGTTTCAAAGAACCTTTCCACCTGTCTTTAGTGGTCATGTATTTAGTTTCCTCAACAAAGAAATGTTTTAAAGAACCTTTCCACCTGTCTTTAGTGGCCATGTATTTTGTCTCCCTCCTGGACGTGTTGTAGAACCTGTCTACAGAAGCCACTTTTTCTGTTTCCTTTGGATGACCTGAAAGCCCCACCGCACTAGTTCAGCCAGGAGGGATTAGACCTCTCTGCATGGTCACTGACAGGTGGTTATCTCATCAAATCAGCTCTCAATTAACATAAGAAAAAGAGGATCATGGGGGACCAATGGTCACCGCATAGGCATTGTTTGCTATATAGAGGGCGCAAGCAGCTATAAGTAGTGCAGTGGGGCTTTAACAGACAGGTTTATATGTTATTTTCTTTTCTCCAGTGAAGCCTTATTATAAACAACATCTATTATAACAATCTGTGTTGAATAATAATAACAAGGTAATTCTGCTGGCCCCAAGTATTCAATTTTTCTTTGTTTTCTCTTTCAAAAATCCTGATATAACAAAGTTTCAACATACCAAGCCAATTTCCTTGATAAAATAATAATATGTTCATTTATCTATCATTCTAACACAATGGGTTTCACGGTGCTGTACAAGGTATGAAGATGGGAAAATCAGTCAAATAAATACGTCTTCAAGTGCTTCTGAAAGGTGTCTAGTGTGGGTGCTGTGCAGATGTTCCAGGGCAGTTGATTCCAGAGGGAGGGGTGCACATGATTGAAAAAGCATCGTCATCTCACACTGTGGCTGGTCTACAGTACGCTATATATCGAGGTTCAACTGTATCTTGAAGTGTAAATTACTGAATGTCCCCCCCCCCAAAAAAAAAAATAAAAATAAATAAATAAATAAATAAATAAATAAATAAATAAATAAATAAATAAATAAATAAAAAATAAAAAAAAAAACCTAACAGAAAGACACCACTTGTGGCGCTTACATATATTGTACAGTGCAATCTCATTATAACATAACAAGGTCCTTGGGACCATGGAAATTACCTGTTATGTCAGGCTGAAAAAAAAAACCCATAAGAATATAAAGAGCCGGGACCAGCTAAATCACCTTGTTATAACAGATACCTTGTTATACCAGAGATCTCAATAATGAGGGCCCATCGCACATTAATATTTGCACACTCTGTTACGAGGGAATCTTGCAACAAATAAAAACAAAAAACAAAAATATTTGGACCAAAACAAATTGACCATGTTATATTGGAATCTTTGTTAAAATCAAGGTGGGATGGTGATGGAGAGGGAGGGGGCACAACTGCCCCAATGCCCCGATATTTCAAAATCCAGTTAGCATATCTTACATTTGCAACAAAAAGTGTATAACCCCTCAAACAAAAAAAATCTTCAGAATTGTGGCCCCCTCCCTCCTACAAAATCTTAACCTTTATCTTTATCAAAAACTTGTCTCTATCCCAGCCATTAGGGCCTTGGGTCTGGTAAAATTACCTTGTCTATACTTGGACCACAATACAATCAATAAACTGCTAACCTAAAAGTTAAAAGTGATGTCACAATGTAAGCTTAAATAAACAGCTTATATCCTAGTCATACTGCCAATCTGACTCCCAAAACTGGACTATGGAAACATGTAACCCCATGTTTGGTCTATAGTCTGTTTGGTCTCACTGGAGCAGTTGGGGTATTAATAAATACATTATTATTATACCCTTATCATCAAGGTTTTAAAACAATGAAAAAAGAAACATAACAAGTGAAAACAGGGATTCAATAGCAAATCTAAATTTCCATAACTATCGAATGAACTATAGACAATCCATATTTACATATTATCATCTGTACAGCCGTATACATGTATGACATAACAAGGCACACTTAACAGAGAAAGTTGAGTTCTGGAAAGAGGTGAAAAATAATTGTGAGTATTATCATTGTATTTTGCAAGTGTGGAAGAACATCAGATAAAATGTTCCCTGAAAAGCATGGCTCTTCAAATTCCTTAATATTCTAAATATGGCATGTAACATCACAAAAATCAGGGCAGATTTTTATGCCACATGTTTGTGTAGTCCCATATACATCTTTCTGTGTACAGTGCTTGCAACTTTACCATGACTGGACCCAATTTATTATCATTTTGATGATTCCAGTACAATTCTTATATGCTAGATGATCAAACTTTTCTGATCGATTCCACAGTTTCTTTCACAATGCAATCGCATGACCAGAACTCAACTTCATCTTTAAAATTATTCAATACTAAATTCAAAGAAATCTGAAGACAAACACTTCTGTGAATCTTACAAAAAATCCACATGGGCTAGTTATGTGTATTCTCTCAAAGTCAATTTTGATCTGTCAAGCTCACCGAGTGTGTTGTGTATTCACAAAGAGCATGTGAATGCTTTATCCAAATGGATTATGTAATGTGCTTCAGTATATACATTCAAACCTGTCTAAGTGGCCACCTCTCTATAGCTGCCATGTATTTTTTCACTCTCTAGAAATAAAATTGTGTGGTATTACCTCATCTGTCTACAATGGCCAGATTTTTTCTGTTTCCCTTGGGTGACCAAAATAGGCAGGTTAGACTGTTTTTGTGTGAATGAGGCACAAAAACGACTAGGGTAAGACCCTTCATCTAATGAGAACATGTTTAGAATCGATGGATGGTATTCTTGAAAGCGGACTAACTTTAGTCCACGGTTTAATCCACTGACTAAGTATGGAATGCCAAGTGTCCATATGAATATATTTTTGAATAATTTGATGTGTCCTAAATTACCATGATAACATAAATATATCATAGTTACATTGTTGTTTAATTAATTATGTTAATACATTTTATTTTAATTAAGTGACAGATTAAATTATTTAAAAACATATTCATATGGACACTTGGTATTCCATATTTAGTTGGTGGATTAAACCATGGACTAAAGTTAGTCCACTTTGGGGAATACCACTCAATGACTTTTGATCATATGATCTACAAGGTGTCCACTCTGTGAGAAACACATCTTACATTCATAGCACTCGTAAGGTTTCTCACCAGTATGTATCCTGAGGTGGATGTTGGCGGCGCTCTTGTCCGTGAACTGCTTCTGACAGACATTGCATTCGTAGCGCTTGATGCCCTTGTGGGTGTTCATGTGCCGCTTCATAGAGCTTCGGTCCCTGAACTGCCTCCCGCAGTCCTCACACGTATATGGCTTCTCTCCCGTATGGATGGTGGAATGGCTGACGAGGTAAGCTTTCCTGGAGAAGCGCTTCTGGCAGACGTCGCACTCGTAGCGCTTCTCTTCGTCATGGATGGCACCGTGTTTCTGGAGTGTCTTCTTTGTCTTGAAGAACTTCTCGCAGACCTCACACTGGAATTCCTTGTTCTCGGTGGTGACAACGTCTTCCTGGAGGACCACCTCTGTGACCTTGTCCATCATGACCTGAGCGGCCATCATGGTCTGAGCCAGAGCTTGAGAGGCAACGCGATGTTCCGCTTCATGCTCCACCAAGTGAGCTGTCAGGTTCTCCTGTCCAAAGATTTCCTTGCTACATACCCCACACTCAAACATGGACTTTTTGCGATGGGTCTTGGCATGCCGCCTCATGTTGGTGGCCGTCCAGAACATCTTCCCGCAGAACTCGCAGGAGTGCGACTTCTGCCCTGTGTGCATCTTAACATGAGAGTTGAGGGCGCTTTTGTCTGCAAAGGCTCGATCGCAGGTCTCGCACTTGTAGGGCTTCAGGCCAGAATGGATGATCTTGTGCATTCGGAGAGTACCCGGCTCGGTGAAAGCTTTGTGGCATGTCTCGCACTCGTAGGGTTTCTCTCCAGTGTGCACACGGACGTGGTTGATAAGACGAGGTTTCGTTGGGAAGGCCTTGCCACAAAGAGTACAGCAGAAGGATTTCTCGCCTGTATGAATCCTATTGTGGGTTTGGTAACTGGCACGGGTCTTCAGGACTTTGTTGCAGATGGTGCAGGTGAAGGATCTCTCTGGAGGCTTCTTTGGCTTGATGCCCTGGTGGAGCTTCATGTGGGCATTCAGGAAGTTCTTTCGTACAAACTTCCGAGGGCAAAGCTCACACTCAAATGGCCTGTCTCCTGCGTGCATCCGCCTATGTAGGTTCAGGTATGATTTGTCACGGAAGGACTTTCCACACAGATCACACAAGAAGGGCTTTGCTCCAGTGTGAATGGATTTGTGCCTACGCAGGGAAGTCATGTCGGAGAACTTCTTCTCGCAGAGCGTGCAGCCAAAGGGCTTCTCACCCGTGTGAACTCTTCTGTGACGTTCTAGATAAGCCTTCTGGGCAAAGCTGTTGTTGCATATGTCACACTTGAACGTCTCAACCACTTTCTTAGGTCTGGAAACCTTGACCGATATAGGAACATACTCATCATCTCCATTCTCCAGTTCCTTATGGGTCAGCTTGTGTTCCTTCAGCTCCTCTTTCGCTTCAAACTCCACTTGACAGACGCGACATTTGAACACCCTCTTGACGTTGGGGATGATAACTGGACCATCTTCGGAGCTAACAACCTCTCCCTCAGCCTCATTACCCTCTTCCATCTTGACCTTGTGTACCTTCTTCTGGTGCTGGGTTCGCTGACCCTTCTGTCTGAAACCGCTTATCGCAGAAGGCACATTTGAAAGGCTTCTCTGCTGAGTGCACCCTCATGTGTGAGGCACACGCACTTTGGTCACTGAAAGCCTTATCACAGAAGCCACAGTTGTAAGGTTTCTGTCCGGTGTGTATCCGTTCATGCCTCCTGAGGGACTTCAAATTGTAAAAGGTTTTATCACACACCGAGCACTTCGGTCCTTGACCCGTGTGCAGTTTCCGGTGATATTTAAGGCTGATGGGCGTTGAGAAAACTTTGTTGCATACTTCACATGCATAGACCTTTCCTCTCTCGTGTTTCTTGCGATGGATGGTGAAGGTACGCAGATTGGGAAACTTCTGCTCACATATAGGGCACTTAAAGACTTTAGATTTCTTGACACCATCGGTCACTTCATCTTCTTTATCAGCCTTGTTCACAAACTCAGCGTGAGTCTCCATGTGTTTCTCCCGCTCGTACTTGTAAATGAATGAGTCAGTGCAGAAGGGGCAGGTGAATTTCTTTCCACATTTCCCAGACTTTTTATGCTTTTCGAGACCACTTGGGCTGAGGAATGCTTTGGAGCAACTCTCGCAACGCAGGAGATTTTCTTCCTTGTGGACCTGCCCCCCGTGAGTGAGACGATGGGTCCTCATCTGGAAGCCGGTATAGAACTTCTTCAGGCAGACGTCGCATTCCACCTGCTTGTCACCTGCATGATCGACGTTTCTTGTGGCTCTTCAACGAGGAGCCATCGCTGAATCTCATATCGCACAGATCGCATCTGTACGGCTTGGTGCCTTTGTGGATGATGGTGTGTCGCCTCAGGGCGCCGTGGCTCTTGAAGGTCTTGTCACACTCGGTGCATTGATAAGGACGCTGTCCCGTGTGGGTGTTGAGGTGTTCCTTGAGGATCCAGGATGTCCTGAAGGTCTTAGAACAGTACGTACAGTCCCAGGACGCATGTGTGGATTCATGCCTTGTCAGCTGACGCACGCTCACAAACGATTTCTTGCAAACGGGGCAATGTTTACTCTTATCGTTGCCTCCCTTCTTCTCAATCATGGCATCCTCTTCTGTCTTTGCATCCTCCTCCTCCTCACTGCTTTCAGACTGTGGTTCCTCTTCAACCGTTATGTGCAGCATTCTCTGATGCATCTTCAGACCTCTTAGTGAAGCACACGATCGGGAACACCTGTCACAATCAAACTTGGATCCTTTCTTCTTCGCTGCTAACGGTTCCTCCCAGTCGATATCATCAGGGTCATTCCCTCCATCTCCAACATCGTCATCATCCTCGTCATCATCCACAATCTGTAACTGTTTCTGACCTTTGGGGGGTAATGCAGGGACTTTCCCTTCATCGACTTCCTTCATGCTCATCCTCTCGCTCAGGTCTTCCTTCTCGTGCACAACCATGTGGAAGGTGAGGTAGCTCTTCTTGGTGAACGTGGAGCCACAGATAGCACACATGAACATGGTCACCTGACTGTGCATCTTCATATGCCTCTGGAGAAGTGCCTCATCCTCAAAACACGCCCCACACTCGTCGCACTTCGCAAGGGAGTGCTTCTGACGCATGTGCTTCAGGCGCTTGCCGTCCGTCTCGAAGAACTTGCTGCAGTAGCGACACAGGTAAGGGGCGTGCTACCTGCCGTGAGACTTCTCATGGGCGCGGTTCTGTCGCTCGGTCCGGAACTCTCGCCAGCAGTAGTGGCAGATTTGTTTGGGCGAGTCTGGGGTCTTAACTGCAATTTTGACTGGGGTCTCTTTCCTAGGGGTAGTACTTGACGCCGCGGTTTCAATGATCTTCACACTGGAATCACTGTCTGGTATTTCTGCAAAGCAATAGCCAATAGACGATAATTGAAATCCATTGAATATCTTCTTTCACAGTGTTTAACTAACTTCATATTTATTAATATGAATTGGGAACTTTAAGAAATCCATGATCAATGTAATGTTAAACAAATTTGGCTGGGCATTAGGACATCAGACTGGTCTATTGCATTTGTATTCAACTTGGCAATTTTAACTTTAATTTAATATATTGGGAAGTTTTTTTTCCAAGGAAGAAATGTTTAGGTCTTATCTGAAACAATGGATTATACTCAATATTTAAACTTTGCACCTCACTCAAGATAGATTAATGATTGGAATTTATAAGCCAGACCTGCCAACCTCTGGAGTTCAAAAACTGTATTCTTTAATCCCAAAAGTTGCATTTTACTGACAAAAGTTGCGTTCTTAAAAATAAACACGGACTGTTTCGCGGATCAATGCATTTTACAATTCCTACATACAGGAAGAATTTTTTTTATGGATCATTGGTTGAATATGCATGATTCCGTCACGACTGTTGTGTTCGATGAACCAATGTACATCCCCAAATTGCCGATGTGAGATGCTTGTAGGATACCTTACAGGACAGAATGGACTTTTTGCCATTGAAAATTCCACACACACAGAAAACAGAAAAATTATATTAAAAAATATTCATTGAAAAAAAAAAAATATATATATATATATATATATTAAAAATAAAATAATATATATTTTTTTTAATTGTATTTTATTGAGGAAAATCGTACTGTCGTATTTGCTTCTAAAAATCGTACAAAATATGACTAAATCGTACTGGTTGGCAGGTCTGATAAGCCTAGTCTCAAATTAAAGGATTAACTGTCAGTTTCTTTCGAAAACATCATTACTTGGAAATGTCAAAGTTTACCTTGAACTTCTAGAGAGCTTGACCTCGGCTCTGCATTGGTTTGAGGTTGGTCTTCAGGAATCATGGTATCCGCGCTCTGATTGGTCATCTCAGACACCAATATGATGGTATCTGCATTCTCATTGGTCAACCCGGCTTCTGGTGTCATGGTATCTGCACTCTGATTGGTCATCTCAGACACCAGTAGGACAGGATCTGCATTCTCATTGGTCAACCCAGCTTTTGGTGTCATGCTATTTGCGCTCTGATTGGTCATCTCAGACACCAGTATGACAGGATCTTCATTCTCATTGGTCAACCCAGCTTTTGGTGTCATGGTATCTGCACTCTCATTGGTCAACTCGGCTTCAAGCATGACAGTATCCATGTCCTGATTGGTTGGTTGTGCATCTTCACCCATCGTTTCTAAATTGAGATTGGTCGACTCTGCTTCGGGAAGGGAGGAACCAGGGAAAGTGGATGAATGTCTGGTGCCGTCGATCTCATCCCTCTCAACAATCTGAACAAAGCTTTCTGTACGGGTTGGTTGAAAGATAGAGGGAGAGAGAGAGAGAGAGAAAGAGCGTGAGACATTATAGCCTCATTCATATGTAACGACATAAGTATCATATACTTCACGTTTCAGTATCTAATAACATACCAAAGAGCCTCTCTTTCGTATCAATTGTGGCAAGAAGTAGGTGCAAACAGACCAAACCGAAAGTGAGAGTTAACTTTCAAAGCCTGGCCAATAAAGAGGAGCATGACGTCATCAATGGCCGGTATTGGAATTGCACCAGTAATAGAAACTCATGCATGGACGAGAAGGAATTTTACTATCGAAAACAAATGATTACGATTTCAAAGGAAATGGTCTATAAGGCAATTGACCTAATTATTATTCAGTAGATACAAAAGCCTAGGCAGGTCCGGTTGAGTGGGGAGGGGGGGGGGGGAGGGGAGGGGGAGGGGGAGGGGGAGGGGGTCTAATCTTCCCGTATTAACGAAAGCGTATTTTTATTTTGTTAGTTTGTACTTGGCCTCTCACACGATCATACATGACCATCAATGTATGGACAGAGGCGTGACAATTGTGTGTCTTGTTTTATTGAATTTTAAATAAGTTTGTCTTTTATACTGCACTTTAATGATACATCAACTATTTTTCAGCCAAATATTCGAGTAATCTTTTATTTCCACATTATAAACTTGTTGTTTACTTTTTGAAAGTGTGGTTTTGATTTGCTATGGATAGGATATGTACTTTATCGACTCATTATTTTGTTTTTGTTTTATTAATCAATAATCCTATTTTAAGAACACTTTTTCTTATCCATTGCAGATATTGTACAATTAGTCCCTAGACTATTTTAAATATCATCAATGAACAGTAAATTATTATACATTTACTGTTTATAGATGTTTTTTTTAATAGTTTCTAGGTGTAAACTTTTTTGACTCACACTGTATATCTCAAATTTCTATTGTAAATTGATATGTCCGTCTGTGTAATATTTATTAGTGGGACGAATTCGCCTATACCTAAATGTTTGAAACTCCTTCTGAACATATTATGCAATCTACTATTCATTAAATGAAACATAAACATAAACATTGGTTTATCTTCTTTAAGAAATTACATAATGATGAGTATTTTTTTCACGATTGTTATTTTTATCACATCTTACCATTAAGCCAACAGGATGATAATGTCATTTTTTTTGTTTTTAACGTAGGCCTACCTTTTTTTTTTTTTCTTCACATGGGTCTCTGATAAAGTGCACTAAACAAACGAGGTGGGGAAAATGGGCGGACATTCCATTGTAAATATGTAAAAGAAGTTTTCAAAGAACATAAATTAAGAAATGAGTGCTTGTATCCATTTTGGTCCTTTGATACCCACTCGTAGCCGGGATGACACAGTCGTGGACTAAGTCTTGTGGTTAAAACGAATCAGAGAGTTTTTGTTTATGTATATGGGAGAAATTTTCGGTTTGCTTTCTGCTAGTAACCATGACATTATTGTGTACAATGTTCTCAGTAATTGGGTTATAATGCTTCCTGATGTAAGCCGGAGACAGCGGAGCCGGGGGAGGGGTGGGGACAGGGGGCACTGTGCCCCCAAACTTTTTCAAATACCCTAAACTACCCCCTTTGCTATAGGAAAGGTGCCCCCTTTTACTTCAGATAAGTGCCCCCCCCCCTTTTTTTTTCTTTTACTTTGACATGTGCTCCTTTTCTTTTCTAATAAGTGTCCTTTTTATCTTTGTGCTAACGTGCTCATTTAAAGCGACTATGAGCAGCCTTTTCTTCAATTTCACCCAAAGGTCGCTGGCATGTTATGTTAAAGGGAGTCTCTCGTCAATTTGCATGTGCAGAAGACAGTAATTCTCTGACACCAGACTTGGTGGATACAAATCATTAACGTGTGTACAGGTACTAGGTCTGCACACAGCGAACCCGTAGGGCAAATAAAAAAATACCGCCTCGTCTCTCGGAGAGTCTTCGGGTGAATGAAAAGTGAGATAATGACTGAAACTGAAGGCTAATCCTGGTGATTGGCAGCATCTATTCTTGGGTAAACACCCAAACGGTGTTAAATTCCCCATTAGAGCTAACTACTGATACTGTTTTCACACTGGCAATATTTGCTTAACCCCGTACTATAGGTGGGGTTAAAGGGTATTTTAACCCCACCTATAGTCCGGGGTTAAGCGTATTCCACTTTCTTTTCACACTGGCAAAATGTTGCTTAACCCCGCACTATAGGTGGGGTTAAAGGAGGGGTTTAGCCCCACCTATAGTCCGGGGTTAAGTCTATTCCACTTTCTGTTCAGACTCGTAATTACCAAAGTGGGCTAACCCCACCTATAGTAAGGGTTAACTAACCCTGTAAAATAGCAGGGCTAACCTCGCAATTGTGGTGCTAACTCCTGCTAACTCCGCAATTGCGGTGCCAAGCAAATGAATGAGAACAGAAACGAAAAATAGTCCGGGACTACGCAGTGAAGCGAATTAATGAATTCCATGGCCATGGCTAGTCCGGGGTTCAGGATAGTACGGGGCTAAGCAAAGTACGGGGCTAAGCAAAACAAGTGTGAAAAGAGTATGAGTGTCTTTAATATCATTTTGTTTCTGATTAAAGATCTTTTCAGTCTTTAATGATTAGGATCGTTTTTTCCCTCTTTTATAAGATGCAATTTTTTTTGCACGGCGACCTCACAAATCTTAAATTGTTTCCTCGTTCGCTTCGCTCGCTCGCAAATAAATATCCAGACCATCACACCCAACTGCAAAGTATGATACTTAAGCAGTATCTTGGACCATGTAAAGAGAGAAACAAACATTGAAATCATCTCTGATACTCTAATCACAATGTAGGGATATAAGGGCCTAGCAATGTCTTTAAAAAAAGAGTATATTTTCGCTTTGATGTTTCCATTTGTAGTTGCCCCTTTTTTATTTTACAGAAAGTGCCCTTTTTTGTTGGTGCCATCCCCCTTGAAAGATGCTCCGGCGCCCCTGATGTAAGGTGTCGTGCATATAATACATTTTGGATGGAAATGATAGTGTTCCACTTATCAAAACATGCTATGCTCTTGATGTAAGTGATTCCATTTGGCTATTACATATCAGCTTCAAATATCACTTCTACAAAGAGATAATGTATTTTAAATACAAAAAAAATATATAATAAAAAACGGATTTCCTTTCACACGGTAGGAAATCCTTGAGTGCCCTTTCCCTAAACAGAGTCGACCAAAAAACGACGCCCCTCGCACTCCCCTTTTGGATTGTTTGGTACTTTTTTTTTTCTTTATTATTTCATGGACATAAATAAACTTTATACTCCCACAATAAACTTTATACTCCTACGGGTGAATGGCATTCATTCCGTTTTCAGTTTGTCCACGTTTTTTTTCTCACTATAAACACATTTTCTGAAAGGATTAACAGAAACCAATGGCGTAGCTCCTGTATCGGGTCACTAGGATAGCTGCCCTCCCAAAAAGATTGAATTAAGGGAGAGAAAGAACTGGGGTTAGAGATAGAGAGAGGGGAAAGGATTGAGAGAGAGAGGGGAGGAGTGAGAGAAAGAGAGGGAGAGAGAGAGAGAGAGAGAGAGAGAGAGAGAAGGGAAGGGATAAGGGTACTAGAGAGAAGAGAGGCATACGAGAGGTATATAGCCGTAATAAGAGAGAGGGGGAGGGGGAGGAGGGGAGAGGGAGAGGGAGCAAGAGGGACAGAGGGAGGCAAACAGACAGTCATAGAATCGGAGAAATGAAATGGAGATTGGAAATAATTTTGAGAAGAAGATTATATTAATACCACATCGTTCACATGCACCAATGTTAATGCTTTAGTATCGGACCTTTTGCTCTCAGTAAGACCTGCTACCCCCCCCCCCCTTTTATTTTTTGTTTCTTTCCTTTTACACATCCATGCTACTCCGCCGATGTGTTAGATAATTATATAATATTGACTGGCCTTGAGGGGTATATCAGAAATATTGACCAAGCTCAGATCATATTGCCCCGAGTCGAAAGACGAGGGCAATATGGTCTTAGCGCGGTCAATATTTCTGATTTCCCCCGAAAGTAAAGCCAGTCAATATTTTTATTGTTATCCAAATCAGACATCTAGAGCAAATACAGAAATCCACCATGACAATCTCAAGAACTGAACAAACTTTGTCAAACCAACACTGTGCATCCAGTGCTTGACAAAATTTTCGATACACTGCAAACAGTGTGTATTTGGTGTGATTATTACGTCACAATAGAGTGCGCGCAAAGTGCGCAGGTTCTCGTACGCATAATAGATGCGCAATGAAAATGCGACGCGGTCAATACAAGATGCCCGGATGCGAGACCGTGGAAAATACCAAGGTATATTTTCACTCGTCTCTACACGCAAAGTCAATACGCGCAGGGAGACCAAGGAAAATACAAAGAATGTACCCCTCCGTTCCCACTGCTAGTGAAAACTAGGGCAATACGGTTTTGTAAATGACCAGCTCAGATGTCTGATACGGGTAATAATAATAAGTATCCCATCGGTTTCGCTTCTTGTATTATAACTTCCCGTAGTGAACTAATTCGAACAAATATTACAACGCAATAAACAATATCACCTCACTTTCGTTTGATAGAACGCGAAGACGGAAATGTATGTGAACGAAAACAAACCGACAAATGAAAGTTATCCTAAAACAACATACAGGGGCGGGTCCTACGTAGATTTTAGAAAATGAATGAAGTGGTGGCACAATAATTATTTTCCAGTTTGCTGAAAAGAAGAAGCAAGAGCAAAAAAAGCAGAAGAAGAAGAAGAAGAAGAAGATGAAGAAGAAGAGGAAGAAGAAAAGGAGGGGGAAAGAAAGAAAAAAGAAGAAAAAGAAGAAGTACAATAATAAGGAGAAGAATTAAAAAAAAGAAGGATACGAAGAAGAAGAAGAAGAAGAAGAAGAAGAAGAAGAAGAAGAAGGATACGAAGAAGAAGAAGAAGAAGAAGAAGAAGAAGAAGAAGAAGAAGAAGAAGAAGA